CAGTACCTGAGAGAGCAGTCTCTGTGGGTGCTGTACCTGAGAGAGCAGACTCACAAGCAGTAGGGACAGTACTGGAGGGAGCAGCCACAGAGGGCACCAGACCAGAGAGAGCAGACTCACTAGTACCCAGGGCAGCGGGCTCTATACCTGGGTCAGGCGGCACACACAAGTAACAGTCTCCCTCGGCACTAACAGTCAATGCATACATGGCAGCAATAATAGCATCATAGTCAAGAGCAAAGATATCAACACCAGCCCTCATCAGCTCAGCCCAGCGGGGGCGCTCAACATCCTCGCCCATCTCCTCACGCCAAGCGTCGTCAAGGCGGGAGAAGCAGCGGTACAGGGTGTGGAACCTCCCACACGTCTGTCCCTTGCGGTCACCTGTGCGAATGACATAGGAACAGCGGCCACTGCCCCCCGACGTCCCACGCTGAGCAAGCCACTCACGAAGCTGCTGGGTCGTCTGGGGACGCTGCTGCTGGTGGGAGCTCTGGCCCGAGCCAGTGCCTCCACTCCGACCTCCGCCGCCACCACTACCTCCGCTCCGACCGCCACCGCCGCCACCGCCACCGCCGCCGCCGCCGCCACCGCCGCCGCCGCCACCACCGCCACCGCTCCCTCCGCCGCCCCCGCCTCCGCTGCCGACCCCACTCCCACCAGCACTCCCGCCACCGCTCCCTCCAGCACCGCCTCCCCCCCCACCTCCCCCACCTCCTCCCCCCCCAGCGCCACCCCCGCCACCCTTGCCCCCCTTGCCCTTGCCGGTGCGGCGCCTCCCACCAGGAGCAGAAGCAGCGCCAGCAGACTCAGCACCAAGGAAGTCAACAGCAGCAGCAGTAGCGTAGGAGGGAGCGAGGGGAGAGGGAGAACACCCCTCAAAGATGGGGGTGCGAGGAGCGCCACGAGCAGCACCTACAGCTACAATGCTCTTCTCGGCTGCTAGCAGTTTCTCCTCTAGGAGGGCGACAGTGAGCTCAGTGGGACAGCGAGCAAGGAAATAGTCGCGCACTGAGCTAAGGGTGTCAGGGAGACGGGTGACTAGAAAGTGGAGTGTCCAGTACAGTGGAGGGGGGTTCTTAGCGCAGAACTCGGTGGGAAGGGCGGCACGCAGGCGAGCGTCACTAGTGCGAAGGTGGGTGATAAGATCGGCGACTGTAGCAAAGGTGGACAGCTCAGGGAACAGGTAAGGCAGCATACGGCGGCTAAGCTCGGCTGTGGCAGGTGAGGAATAGCGGGCAACGACAGCGTCGTACAGGGCCTTAGCGGTTTTGCAGTCGCCAAAATGCTCGAGCTCAGCTAACGGCAGGTGACTGCGAATGGCTAGGCGAGCAGCTGCGTCACGAGTCTGCCAGTGGGAACGAACACTAAGCTCTGCTGTGGCAGGAGGGGCAGGTGCAGCACCAGACGCGTAATCATAGAGCGACACATGCTCCTTGCTATCGCTCAGGAGGAACAGCTGCAGGTCATCTAGCCAAGTGGTGAACTGCACAGGGCGGCCCTCAGCATCGAACGAAAGCACGCGGATGGAAGCCATAACGACAGTACGGCAGAGCAACGCAAGCTACCACAGCAGGGGCGGGCAATTGCGCACGGGCAGGGAGCAGCAGGCGGCGCTGCAAGCGGGCAGCGCGGCGGACGGGCGGCTCTGCAAGTGGGCAGCGCGGCAGGCAGGCGGCGCTGCAGGCGGGCAGCGCGACAGGCGGGCGACTCCGCAAGCGGGCAGCACGGCGGGCGGGCGGGCAGCGCGACGGACGGCGTGGGGCAAAGCGGGCGGCGCGCGGGGCTGCAAGGCAGCTCGACGGGCTGCGCGGGGCAGAGCGGGCGGCGCGCGGGGCTGCAGAGCCGAGCGACGAGCAGCGCGGGGCAGGGCGGGCGGGTCGCGGGGCTGCGCAGCAGATCGACGGGCGGCTCGGGGCACAGCGGGCGGTGCGCGGGGCTGCGAGGCAGCGCGACGGGCAGCGCGGGGCAGAGCGGGCGGCGCGACGGGCAAAGCAGGGGAGGCGCGCGGGGCTCTGGGCTGGCAGGACGCCGGTCGGCAGGGCGCACGAGGGCGCTACAAAGGGCGCTACGAGGGCGCTAGAGCGCAACGAGGGCGCTACGAGGGTAGGGCGCGGGGGTAACGCGGTAACCGCAGCGTGCGGTGGTGGGCCCTAAAAAAAAACGATCGGATGGTCCTAGGGACCACCTGCTCTGAATACCATATCAGAATACTAGCGTGAGAATGGTGCATTGAATGAAACAGTTGGGTACAAGTAGCTAACCCTAGTTGGGGTTGTACCCCATACTGGCTACCCCACTACAGCCTACCAACATATAACAGTTTAACAAATATTTTATGACAAGGTGTGGCAGAAGGCTCTCTGAAGTTATACTGGGCTAAACGCTAACAAATCAGAAGAGAACGCCACCACTAGTTCACCCTAGTGTCTGTCAAACTGCTATCATGTTTGTGCTGTGTAAGCTGTAATGGGGTAGCCATATAGGGTACAACCCGATTTAGAGTTTGCACTTGTACCCACATTCTGCTCAATGCAATCATTCCTGCTCGTTAGTTTGTGGCACGGTTTCAGAGCAGTACCGGTAGGTCAGTAGGACCGTTTTTTTCCGGGCTCACCACTACCTAGTGACCGACTGTGGTTACCGCGTTACCCCACGCCCTCCCCTGCGCTGCGCCGTCAGCGTGTGCCCTGCCCTGCCCTGCGCTGCGCCGTCAGCGCGTGCCTTGCCCTGCCCTGCCTTGCGTCACACTGCCCGTGTACGCCTTGCCCCACGTCGCGTTGCCCTGCGCACGTCTTGCCCTGCCCCGCGTCGCGCTGCCCCGCGCCACCCTGCCCTGCCCTGCGTCCTGCTGCAGCCCGCGCCCTGCTGCCCCGCGCGTCGCGCCCTGCTGCAGCCCGCGCATCGCGCTCTACTGCTCCGCGCGTCGCGCCCTGCTGCCCTGTGCGTCGCGCCCTACGGCAACCCGCGCGTTGCGCTCTACTGCCCCGCGCGCCGCGCTCTGCTGCAGCCCACGCGTCGCGCCCTTTCTGCCTCGCGCGTCGCGCCCTACGGCAGCCCGCGCGTCGCGCTCTGCTGCCCCGCGCGTCGCGCCCTGCTGCAGCCCGCGCGTCGCGCCCTGCTGCCCTACACAGAGCGCGCCCTGCTGCTCGCGCCGCCCAGGCCGAGCCGCGTCCCCCAGACCGAGCCGCCCTGCCCAAGTCGATCCGCCCTCCTGCTCGTGCTACTACTGCTGCTGGTGGAGGTGCTACTAGGAGTGCTGGAGGTGCTGCAGCCTAGCCTCACCGAGCCGCTCCGCTGCTCTTACTGCTGCTGCTCGTGCTACTGCCTTCCCTCCGTATTGCCCTACTAGTCGCGCGTTTCCTTGCTTGCCCGCTATGACTTCACTTCGTAGTAGCGGTGGGAGTGGTGACGGCGGTGGTGGCAGCATCGGGAGCAGGGCTGACGTTTCATTTTAAACCTCCCTGATTCGGGGAAATATTTTCCCCCTGTATTATGGGTGCATATTTTCCACAGGTAGGCTACTCTGATTGCTCAGTGTTGAAAAGTAGTTAACTCTGATTGCTCAGGGTCGAGAATTGAACATCAATGTAGTAACGCGCACTGTTTTTAAAGGGGAAAAAAGTTTCACTCTGCATGATCGCAACACAACGCGACATCATTTCGTGCACACCTTGTGCGCGTTACTTTCTTCCCCTTTACCTCAACAAAATGGTATTTCTGCACAAGTTTTAGCGCGGGGAAGAAGCAATTTCGGTCCATTAAACAGTTCGGTACCGTAGATGTGTCAAGATTTCCTATTCGCTGATTACCCGCGATTCGCCAAATTCATTGTGCGAAACGCAAAAAATGGGTTGGTAGCTTCACGCACACACAATTGAGACAATACACTTCGACATTTTCAATTTCTGTGAAACTAACATGCATGGAGTGTGTTCGCCTGTCAGACATGTTGCCGCGCGCTGCTCACGCTCTGGCTGTACTGCGACCAATCCGAAGGAGGGGTTATCGGAAGGAAATTTCGGGGAAACTTTCTTTCGATAAGGTCAAATTCAGAGTCCACAGAACGCGTACTCTACATTGACAGAGTCAGTAAGAACACCACTCTGAGCCTAGATACAATATTTCAGGGTTCGCTAAAGCACTATTCTGAATGGATCAGTGTTCACAAGTCAGAAATTCTGAAATTGCAGGGACCACCAGGTGAGAAGCTTGTAATAATCCTGAAATCAGGGTAATTACCCTGATAAAATCAGCCCTGAGCGGGAGTGGTGACCGGCAGTTTCGTGCGAAACAGGTTTTTGTTCCGAGGCAAGGACCCATCCTTAGCCTCCAAGCACAGTTACAACTGTTCTTGATTTGTACACTTGCTCACTCGGTGTATATATCAATTGCCATTTGAAAAAAGGAGAAAATTGCTGCTTTATTATGTTAACAAGTCATTAAAAGACTTCAACCGCCTTTAGCTCTTGGCACCTTATCACATCCACCAGTTTCCTTGGCGAATTCAGTAAAAAGCATCCGTAAAATAATACAAAATTTTAGAAAATGTGATTTGAATGGAATTGTCACGTTTTGTTTGACATGCTTGTATTCATACGATTATATCAGCAAAAAGATAAACGCGAATTCTAGGAGTTACCTATATTGCCGAAGTTTCGTTGTTTTGCTGGTGTTTCGCTAAGTCGTGTTTCGCACGGCCTGACGCAACCCTTCCAAGCCAAACTTCGAGAGTGCAATTTCAGGGTTACAGCCTCCTAAACAACGGGCGAACCAGCCCCTTTCCGCTCGATCCCGCGGGGCTCGCGCGTCTGTAGGCAGCAGTGCTGCTCCCGTGGGCCCTCTCAAGTAGGGCTCTGACTGCCACGTAGGCAATTTCCATCTCCCAGCCTCACCTACGTGTTCAACTCTTAGCATCGTCACCGGTTAGTAATGATGGTCGACTTTTTTCGAGGCCCCTAGAAAGTCCAGCAATTTCGTTCGCCGACACCGCCCCCGCGATGCAGCGGCTGCGAGCATGGCTTGCACTCTCCGCCGCGCTTTGGCTTGCTGCCTTCGTCTCTCCATGCCATGCGCAACCATTCGAACCTGGAGTCGTGATGATCAACGCTACGCAAGGTACCTCCCTCCTCGCTTTATGCTTACTAGTAATACCTTAACGCTTCTCTACTTTGTACCACCTCGCAGCCAGTGTGATAGTGGTAATTAGTGCGCGAAGACATGTCGTAGGCGCTCGGTGGCCTGCCAACGAGGTCGGAAGCAGCCATAAGTAGTACAGGAAATACCGCAGCAACCCCCCTCTTTGGCTATGAGGTGATAACAGCGAGCAATCTCAACCTCCCTCCTCGTAACCCGTTCGAAACCTCACCTCACCATGGCACTGTGCGGTACGACGTAGTAGCAATCACCACGCGGTTTGTCCTGCCAAAATGCGACTGAAATAGCAATCAGCACGCGGTTTTCCCTGCCACAATGCGACTGAAATAGCACTGATCTCGTGTGGCAAGACACGAGCGCCACGTGCTCTAGTTCCTTAATGCTTTTCTGAAATAGCACTGATCTCTGCACGCGGTTTGCCCTGCCACAATGCGACTGAAACAGCACTGATCTCGTGCGGCACGGAACGAGCGCCACGTTCTCTACTCGTGACGGTACCGTTTCAAGGTGATGATACCTTGAGGGCGGGGATGGGAGAGACCCGTCGTCACAAGAGCCTTTCCGTGAGGCACCTCAAAACTAGGCGCCACGTGCTCTATTCGTGACGGTACCGTTTCAAGGTGATGATACTTTGAGGGCGGGGATGGGAGAGACCCATCATCACAAGTTCCTTTCCTCGGTTATCCGATAACCAGGAAGCGGAGTCCATAGAAGCAGCCTCGGAAAGCACGGGCCTTCTGCCGCAGGCTGTAGTAGCAGTAGCAAAGCTGATCCCCTGACACATTTCCGCGCAGGCTGTAGCAGTAGCAAAGCTGATCCTCTGACACATTTCCGCGCAGGCTGTAGCAGTAGCAAAGCTGATCCTCTGACACATTTCCGCGCAGGCTGTAGCAGTAGCAAAGCTGATCCTCTGACACTTATATATCCATCAGTGTCAACGCAGGCCCGCAGGCTGTATCTGCTCTTCACTTTGTGCCCTGAATGAGTCGGTGCAGCGCGGCCGTAGCGATGAGTCGGTGCAGCGCGGCCGTAGCGATGAGTCGGTGCAGCGCGGCGTTAGCGATGAGTCGGTGGAGTGCGGCCTTTGTGAGCGATGAGTCGGTGCAGCGCGGCCGTAGCGATGAATGGGTGCAGTACCACGCTCCACTCGGGCAGCTAGCAAGGGCACGACGGAAATCCTGTGAAGCCAAGGAGGGTCGCAGCACTGGGGTGTCTGGCGTGGTTAGGGGCTCGAGAGTGGCTTCGTTGGTTGGATTCTAGAGCCTGCAATGCCTTCGCCAATCTGCCTTGCTTGTGACTGAGCCAGCTGGTGACAGGGCCAGCTGGTGACTGAGACAGCGGCTGACTGGTCGCTGCTTCTGACTGGCCCAGCTGGTGACTGAGACAGCTGGTGACTGAGACAGCTGGTGACTGAGACAGCTGGTGACTGAGACAGCTGGTGACTGAGCCAGCTGGTGACTGAGACAGCTGGTGACTGAGCCAGCTGGCGACTGAGCCAGCTGGTGACTGAGCCAGGTGGTGACTGAACCAGCTGGTGACTGAACCAGGTGGTGACTGAGCCAGCTGGTGACTGGGCGCTGCTTCTGACTGGCCGCTGCTTCTAACTGGCCGCTGCTTCTGACTGGGCTGCTATGCGCGGGCCAAAATGAAGCGCCCCTCCTAACTTGGGTTCGGGCGGCATTGGCGCCTCCTCGGGATGGTGTTGCATATCTAGGGACTTCTGAGCCAGGTAATCCGTTTTGGTTTCCCTGGTCTTCAGTGCTAGAGCTGGAACTTTCCTCCTCTGTGCCTCTGTCCCTCTCTACCCTCCTGTACCGAACTGTCAGCTGTGTTTCTCAAGGACTCCCGGAAGGCATGGGGAAAGGCGGTCCAAGGCTGGGTTGTCGGTGCTGACTGTTTTTACGCCCAAGGACTCAACTGTGACGATTCAGGCATGATTACCCAGATGTAAGTGTGATCATGATGTAAGTGTGCTCATGATGTAAGTGTGATCATGATGTAAGTATGATCATGATGTAAGTATGATCATGATGTAAGTATGATCATGATGTAAGTGTGATCATGATGTAAGTGTGCTCATGATGTAAGTGTGATCATGATGTAAGTGTGCTCATGATGTAAGTGTGCTAATGATGTAAGTGTGCTCATGTTCCATCTAGGATGGATTGGATCCCACACAAGCTGCTAATCCTGCAGGCTTGTATTGATTGAATTTGGTGCGCATTGGTGGAATCTGCACCGTTTATTCCCAATGCTGGCGTCACCCACTCATGTATCTGTCTGGTTTCCGCAACTCCCTCCTGTTTCTAATCCACCTCCCCTCCCCACATAGATCTTTCACTTCTTTCACGGGGGGGCTTAATGGGTCTATTCCTCACAGCATCTCCTCTCTCACTGCACTAACTTATCTGTAAGAACCACAAAGTAAATTTATGAGCTCGCCTTTCTTTTGATTCTTGGGTTTCTTTTGAAGCTTGCTGTGCTGCTGAATCGTCTGTCCATGCCTACTATTCTCATCTCCTCACTTATTTCGCCTCAACCTCCTCACATACACAGGGCCTTTTTAGGCACTAATTTGACGGGCTCCATTCCCAACGGCCTCTCCAAGCTTCATCAGCTCCTAACTCTGTATGAAGCACCTCGTTTCAGTCTGGTGGCAAGAACGAACATGCTCAAATATCACATGAACTTTAAAATTCTTGAGAGAATAAGTTTAGTCACATATCTTATATCCCTTTAAATGCAAGGAAGAAGCAAGGAGTTTCAGGAAATCAAAACGTATAGCCAGCCAAGTCAGGATGAATATCTCGTAGCACCTCTTCCTGGCCCTCCCCTCCCAGAACAGACCCAGGTTTGATGAGAACCACATATTTGTCAAACTGGGTGTTCGACTTCTTAAGTGATCGAATTGAACCGTTTGCCTCGAACCAAATTGCGCTTCGGTTTCCTCACGCCTACCTCCTACCTGCATGCTAGTCTCATCCTCCAATGGGGTGCACTGTGTGTGCTTGCTGTCATTCGGTCCATGCCCACTTCTCTCATCTCCTCACTTATTCCTCCTCTATCCATCCCACACACAGGGATTTTTCATACAACCATTTGACGGGCTCCATTCCCAGTGACATTCGCTTTCTTCCTAATCTCACTCAAATGTATGACGCTCCTCGTTTGAGCTTGGTGCCAAGCATGCATTGTCAAAGATCACAGGCCAGCAAGAAAACAAGGGGTTTTGGTTGATAAGAACGCATTTGGCCACACCTCTTCCTGGCCCTGCCCCTCCCAGCCTTTGTTCAACGAGAACTTTGTCGAACCGTGTGTGCAACTCAAACTGTTTCAAGCATGAACCTGTTCGCCTCGAACCGAACTGCAATGCGGTTTTGTAACTCATGTCTGTCTCCCAGCATGCTGATCGACCGTGTGTGCTTGCTGTCGCTCAGTCCGTGCCCTCTATTCTCATCTCCTCACTTATTCATCCCGAAACCATACCACGCACACACAGGGATCTTTCAAACAACATTCTGACGGGCTCTATTCCCACCAACATATTCACGAACCCTCAGCTCTCTATGTTGTATGGAGCACCTTGTTTAAATCCGGGGCTAAGCACGCACAATGAGTGGTGACACCTGGAGTGGGCTGTGCATGGGTTTTAACCCCATCAGCTAGAAGTCCTTTCATATCGTCTGGTTTAAAGGGCTGCTTGCATTTCGGGCCTTAGTCCCCCATGCATATTCTCAGCAACCCCTGTTGTGATGATTGCTTTTTCTTAGTTATAGGGTGGAGTCATCCTGCTCTAGTATCATCTTGCTCTCCCCCCCCTCATTCTCCCTCCCCTTCTCCCGTGCATAAGCTATCTTCCATGGACTGTACTTCGTCTTGGATAAGCCGTTCTTCACTCTTTAATCAGGCATACGAATAGGCATATGGTCAGCCATATGGTATGGTTGAACTGAGTCACCACATGACCTGCCCCCTCGTGTCACAGTCGGCCCCACCTTATAGGCCCAAATCGTGCAACTTTTCCAGGGTCCTGACCTGACCCGTGATCGGGTCGACTCGACTTGACTCGCACCTTCCTAAACCTGACATGGACCGGGATGGGTCGGGACGGATCGACCCTTTCCTCATGTCTATCCAGGCGAGCACTCGATAGCAAGGCATGCCCCTTTTGTGGTTTCGTGCCTCACATCAAACATTTTAACCCATCGAAGGATGAGCTCAGTCCTAAATGTCAGAATAAGGAGTTGATTTAATTGACTAAAGAGTAGAATATGTGGACTTAAGAAGCACAGGAGGGGTTGGGTAGATAAGGTGCAATCGGAAGGAAATCGTAGGAAATCCTAGGGAATCCTAGGAGGATCCAACCAATCCAACCAACCATCAAAGATGGAGGTGATTTTGGATAGGTTGGGAATGAGTAATTCTACACCCAACCCTAGACATGAGCAAGGGGAGGAACACCTGTTCGGTTCGCCTCGAACACGTTCGAGGCGAACCGAACATGTTTATTTTTTTGGCTTAAATGGTTCGCCGAACAGTGTTCGAGGTTCGCCCGAACATGTTCGTGTTCGGGCCGCGGCTGCAATTTGCCCTGCAACGAACACGAACGTGTTCGAGGTTCGCCCGAACACGCCTTCATAGGCGAACGGCGAACACTTGTGTCGGCGGAAATCGTTCGCCGAACCGAACAGTGTTCGGTTCGGCTGTTCGAGCTGTTCGACAGAGGACGAACTCGAACCTGTTCGAGTTCGGCCTCTGCTCATCCCTACCCAACCCAGCCAAAAAACTAAGCTTACAAAATTCGTAAACTCTAAAACTTTTCAAGGTGAACGCACTAAGTGCAGTCTATTTCCAACACTTACCAGGTTTCGCCATGGTCAGTCTGGTTGTGGACATCCCCGGCCCGGAATTAGCCTGTTAAGGCAGGCTGGGTCAGCCTGGGTCAGGCCGCGTTTGGCCCGCCACGTCTGTCCTGGCCACAGAGACACCAGCGCTGAGCGGACCAGTCCAGGGGCGGACCAAACTGCGATACTTTTTCTACTCACGTCTGCCTTTCAGGCAAGAGAAAAAACGCGAACTCACCCCCACCGGAGGCGAGCACATTCGGATTGTTTGTCGCGTTGGCGATCGTGTTCGCCTGATTATTATTTTGACGCGAACCGTGTTCGGTTCGTCAAAACCAGCGAGTCAATTTGGCATGCTTGTTCATATTTCAGGTAAAACTTGGTGGTTCGACATTTCATCAAGATCGTAAGCCACACTTGCGTTGGACCTAGCACACTTATGGCTATCACTAGGAGTAACATTGGATTAGGTCACTAGACACGGTAAGGAAGCTTAGGGAAGGAAAGCTTTTGAGTAGGGTTAGATAGTCAAAATTAGAAATCAGGAGGATTTGTGGGGATTGGGAGGAGAAGGTGATGTGAGCAAGGATGTTAGGTCTAGAAAGTTGTGTGATCGCATTCGATTTGCGTGTTCGAATAAGTGTGAGACAAACTAGTTCAAGTTCGCCTCGCCTTAGACTATGCTCGTCTTATCCCCCAATTGGGTCGACCGTGTGAGCTTGCTGTCCCTCCACCCATGCTGGCAATTCTCATCTCCTCACTTATTCCTCCCCAACCCATCTCATGCGCACACAGGGATCTTTCAAGCAACGCTTTAACGGGATCCATTCCCAGCAACATACAATCACTGTCTCAGCTCGCTTTCCTGTATGGAGCACCTTGTTTAAGCCTGCTGGCGAAGCATGCATGATGAAAGATCACATGAACTTCAAAACCTCGACCTCTTTCATGCCCTCCTCTTTCAAACAACAACTTGAAGAGCTCCTTTCCCAACAGCATCCCGAGCTTTCTCAGCTCAACTATCTGTATGAAGCACCTCGTTTCAGCCCGAAGCTTCATGCATGATCAAGGGAAATGGAAACACAGTTTTTAACCGTTTTGTACCCCATTTTTACCCTAAACCTGACATTTCCTGCTAACCGTGGGAATGGACGGGGCGGAATGCCCTTCTGTTTCTTTTAGATCCAATCAGGGCGTCAAACTTTCACGTGCTGAATTCTCCTTGAAACCCAAAGTGTTCACGTTGAATGCTTTTGGTTCTCAAAACTCTTCGGTGTTTAAGCCTTTTGCTGATTTCAAACACTCAAACACTTGAATGTTTGATCAACCCGAACACAATTTTGTGCAACGAGGAAAACGAACAGGGTTCGATTATTTGCTCAGTCTCATACTTCATTCGGTCTACCGTGTTTGCTTGCTATCATTCAGTCCATGCCCACTCATCTCATCTCCTCACTTATTCCTCCCCAAACCATACGACGCACATGCAGGAATCTTTCAAACAACGCTTTAACGGGATCTCTTTCAAGTAACGTCTACAGGCTTTATCAGCTCACTTATCTGTATGAATCTCCATCTCCCCACTCGACTCAGGTGCTGAGAATGCACGAAAAACACAATCGTGTTTGACCTCTGGTGTCTTCGCAAGGTTAGAAGTTACTTCTTTTTGTAGAACACAATCGTGTTTGGCGCTGCTCATTCAAAGTGCCCAATCGACATACAACCTTTGGTTGCGGACCATTTTTGTACGCGTATGTGTTCGTCGCAACGAATGTTGAACCGAACACGATCGTGTTTGACGCTGCTCGGCCACCGCGCGACGAACTGAACTCTAGAATGTTCGTTTGAAACACGAATATATTCGAGGCGGCCTAGTGGGCATTTGCGAGGGGAAAGTGATATGAGCAATGGATGTTAGGTTAGAAGGTTGCACATAATATCTCTAGGAGGAGAGAAGTTGAATACGAGTGGAAAGCAAGGGATGTGATGAATATTATTGAATATACCGGCCACAAATGGTCCAGTTGAGCACCCGAACCTTACTTATGCAGAATTAGTTTGACCCAAACCGAACGCATTTGGCTCACTTTAGTGAGTTCAAGGCCAGCTAGTTTTATTTTGTTTTCTGCTCATACCACCTCCCACCATGCTCGTGTCATTCCCCAATTGGGTCAACCGTGTGTGCTTGCCGCCTCTCAGTCCATGCCCTCAATTCTCATCTCCTCGCTTATTCTGCCCCAACCTGTACCATGCACACACAGGTCTCTTTCATCCAACAATTTGACGGGCTCCATTCCCAGTGAAATCAACGGGCATTCTCTGATTTCTGATCTGTACGAAGCACCTCCTTCATTGTTGATGCTAAGCATGCATGATCTTAGATAGACAAGAAACATGAACTTCATAACCAATGAGAGAGTCCTTAAATGCCGCTACTTAGTAAGAAAACAAGGAGTTTGGGGTAGTCAATATGTATATGGCCATACCATTGGCACCTAATCCAGGCTGTATGGGCCACATTCTCCCAAACGAGAACCACAAATTCCTCGAACTGTATTTGTGACTCAAACCATTTATGGCAATTTGAGTCAAACCTGAACCTGTTTGCCTCAAACCGAAGTGTGATTCGGCTTTTACTCTTGTTTATCTCTAGGCAATTACATAAGTCCGATTCTGGTTCGGCTCTGGGCGAACGGGTCCGATTTCCCCTAGGGCCGAAACTCGAAAATATGGAGTCGGCCCAGGCCGGGCCAAACCGGGGTTGGCCCGTCGGACCGCAATGGTTGGGACGCGGCCCGCCAGTAAGTAATGGATGAACCGGTTCAATATGGCCCGGTTTGGGCCTGCTCGGGCCGTGTTGGTCAGAGCCGAGAATTCCACAAAAGTCAAATTGTCAGATTCTAGATATTGTCAACCCCGCAATACTCCTGAACCAAGGCATTCCGTTAAGTATTACAAAACCACAAGCAAACAACCATGACTTTCCGTTTCAGTTTCATATTTATTTGAAGCTTATGGATACCTTTTTAAGGTTACGAATCCCAAAAACTCAAGTTCACTTGTTTGGTTATACCCTGGGCTGGACTCGGCCCGGGTCGTCTCGTAAAAGGTTTGCCTGAACGTCTATCAGCCTGCCCTTGTATTGTGTGAACACGGCCGGGGAACAGCCTGTCCAGCCCCGGGCAGGCCGAACCTGGTTCGGCCTGCCTTCTTTGCCGGCCAGGTTCGGTTCGACCTGGGCTAAATTGGCCCACCCAGGTGCTCATGTCGTCGCCCAGCATGTTCACCTCATCCCCCAATTGTGTTGTCCTTGTGTGCACCCTCCATGCCCTCTATTCTCATCCCAACCCATAACCATGCACATACAGGTCTCTTTCAAACAACAGGTTGACGGGCTCCATTCCCAGCAACCTATTCAGACTTCCTCAGCTCGGTTATCTGTATGAAAAACCTTGCCCTGCAGTACCTTATTTATCAGGCATATGGATGGGCTTTTTCTATATTTTGTTGTGCATTTTTCTATCCATATGATCTGGTCGAACCGAGTCGCCATCTGGTCGACCAGTCCGGCCCTCGTGTCACAGACGGCCTGGCCCTATAAACCCTGGTCGGACATCTTCCCTAGGGTCCTAACTCGAGGTCAGGTCAACCCCACCCAAACCGTACCTTAGCCTGTGAAGGCAAATACCGAAGCGACTACGAATAGTTCTTTCCTATAATGAGAATCCATGATGTGAACCAAACACTGGCGGATTTGAATCGAGTATAAATATGCACAT